GACAAGAACTGAGTGCTGAAAAGAGATAAAGGAATATACATGATATATTCAGTAACAGTATCGAAAACCACAGTGCCTAAAAGGAAAAAGGGGAAAGAGGGAGAGAGAGAGAGACAGAGACAGAGAAAGACAGAGAGAGAGCCAGAGAGAGAAGAAAAGTATCTACCATAAACGCAGGCTCTGTGGACAGGGCAAGAGGGAAACTGGAGACATCAGTGATAGGAAATGTACACTGGTGAAGGGATAGGTGAGGAACATAATATGAAAAAAATCTCACAGTGACTCAATTAAAAAGAAAAGTTTATGACCAACAACTTCACTAGTGAGTTTGACCAAAATTCAAAAAAAGATGACCAATTCTTCTCAAACTTCCCAATGGCAAGAAATCTTGTCATGTCATAATATGGGCAGACCGTCATTGTCTTACTTTGGACCATCCACAGGCCATTAGCATCACTTAGAACTTTGGAGACATGTAGCACCTCAAGCCCTAATGTGAGTCAGCTGAATCTGAAGGTGCATTGTAAAAGAGGATTTTGAGTGACTCCTCTTTTTGAGAAGCTCTGCTCCATCTCACTTGGTATTACCAGACTGTTAATTTTTTCCAATCGAATGTTAAATGAAATGTCATAGTGGTCTTGATTTGCATACCCATAATTAGTTGGAACATATGTTCAACATATGTTGGCTTTGTGTCCTCTTCTGTAGAAATGCCTGTTTTGTATCTTCTGCCCATTTCTATTGGTTTATTCTTACTTATTGTTGGTGATATATTCTTAAGACTATCTATTAGTCATCTATGTTACATAAAGCCTTCTAGTTTGTAATGAGTCATTGTATTTTAAGTTGTTTTTATAACAAACATCTTAATTTTAATATAGCCATAATAACCAGCTTTTTCTAGGGTTAAGAACTCCTGGCATACCACAGGGTCAGAAAAATATTTACCTTGTATATTTTCTACTAAGCTTTTTGTTTTGACATTTAAATCATTTTTCCATCTGGAATTGATTTCTGTGTATCATGTGAAGTAAAGATCCAATTTTTCTTCCTTCCCCCATTTATTTTAACCTTCTGTGTCCAACAATACACTCAAAAAATCTTATTTAAGTAAATAATTTCCACATTACTAATCCATCTTTTTACACTTAATATGTCCAGGAGCATTGCTATTCATGATTTTTTTTCCTCCAAGAAAACTTTCTTCCTGTGATTCCTAGAGTACAGTCCTTTCCTTGTCTCCATTTTACTTCTCAAACATTTTTTTCTTACAGCCTCATTATTCTCTAACCACTCAATAAATGGCAGTGTTAAGACCCTACTGTAGACTCACACTTAGAACAATAATTTGAAATTGTCATCACCATTCACTTATCCTCAACTCTCTACCTGGGCAATCACTTCCATTTCTTAACACCCAAGACTTTACCATTCATACAAAAATTACTTACAGTGTATTTCTTCTTCAGACTTCCTCTTGGAGTTCCTAATTCAGAGATATTTGAGGTCTCATCAGATTATCTCCAAAACATCAAATTCAGGGAGTTTAATACTAAATTCATAATCTTGCCACCACCTTGCCTCCCCACATATACCCTCATTCATCATTTTCTGTGACTAGCAGCAACATTCATGGAGATCTGTAACCTTTTTTCATATACCAGATCCACTTCTATTCAATTCTATTTCCACTATCCTAGATTCAAGCTACTTTCATGTCTCTGATGAACAGTGTCAAGTGTAAATCTTCCTACACTTTTTCCCTTTCACCCTCTTTTGTTCACAATATTGCCAGGGTGATCTTTTTAAATGCATCATGGATCCTAACCACTTGATCTCCTTCCAAGAGTTAGGCTAACATAAAAAGGTCTTGACAGTGCCTACCAGGAAATTCATAAACCATCACCACACTCCTCCTCTGCCCCCCTTCACTCTGATCCCAGACATAGTAGCCTTTCAATACTCAATCTGCCATGTTCTCTCTCACAAGATTCTTATGAACACTGTTCTCTACGGAAGGGACATTTTGCTTAAACTTTATTTCAACTATCCCTTCCTCAGAGAAGTCATTCCTGAATTTCCAGAACAGGCCAAATTCCCCAATAAGATAATTTAATAGTGGCAGAGGATGCTTGTTTTTTGCAGTGTTTCTCACATTTGTAATTTTATGTTGGTTTTGTTCTTCTATTAAAGGCCATCTTGTCCCATCCCATCCCCACCCAGCAAGACATCATAAAAAAGACATAAGTGCACAGCAAATATTTGTTGGTGCATCTAAGCTAGAAGACTTTATGTTGGCAGAGTAAATCACTTTTCTAGTGCTGGCGCCCTAAACTTACATCTTCATTATGACATCTTGCTGGGTAGGGATGGGGTGGGAAAAGTTGACCTTAAAAAAAGAAAAACCACACCAATGCAAAATCACAATTGAGAAACATACTGAAAAAAAAAATGAGAAGCCAACATTGGAAAATAAGCCCACTCTGCCCACTCTTCTTATCTTATAAGCCTCATTTGAAACTGCTGCTACATTTCATCTATGTGCCTGGCATTGTTAATGTCTGATAAATTCTGTATTCCTATGTTGCAGTTAAAAGATTTGATTAAACCAAGTTGTTCACTCCATGGCTTAGAGGCCAGCCACACATTCTAGGGGTAAAGGCAGCTCAGATAGAGAAGGGAGCACCAAATAAAGGGTGCTGGGAAGATCCACCCAGGATGGGAGATGCATGCTGAAAGTAGTCTATAGACCGAACATGATTGCCACCCAATGTCTCTTCTGCAGACCACAGCACGCAAAAGGAGAGACAGAACAAAAGGGAGTGCCCTGTCACAGAGGCAGGGTGGAATGGGGGGTGGGAGGGTGGGAGGGATACTGGGATTGGTGGGGGTGGAGAATGGGCACTGGTTGTAGGATGAGTACTTGATCATTGTATAACTGAAACTCAAGCACAACAACTTGTAAGTCTACAACTGTACCTCATGGTGTTTCACTAACAAAACAAAAAAACAAAACAAAACAAAAAAGACTTGATTAATAGCACTAATTTCACTCACACTTAACTTTCTCACATCCTAAACACTTAACTAAGTACAGACAGGTATAGATAATCAATAGTTAATAATTTTAAAGGAATAATTTTTATTTGAAATGCAGATTTTACTTTATTGTATTTGTGAATTTTTAATTACTGAGTATTTAATATATCCTCACAATCTTGCACTTCAATTAAATCTGTTGGCATAAAATAATGCTCAGTCCTGATAAAACTGGTAAAGTGTTACTTTTTAACTACAACAAATATTTAAGACACTTTTATATGATAAAAAAATCAATATGAACCCACTGTGATTTAAAACAACACACTAGTCCTCATAATACAGCTCAATACAAAATAGATGTTGCCTGATAATTCACATCCAATTTAGGTCTTTATTATCAAGCAAATATTTTCTTTAAAGACTAATGCTGGACCAGAGAGATAGCACAGCAGGTAAGGTGATTGCCTGGCACACAGCCAGCCAGGATTAGATCTCTGACAACCAATATGTTCACCCGAGTCCCACTAGGAGTGATCCCCCCCAAAAGCTAATGCTTTGACTGTTTTAACTTACAAATCCAAGTAACTCACTGCAATTGAATACTATTTAAATGGTCCTTTATGACTCTTCATGAGTAAATGTTATGTTTTCCAGTTTGGGAATATTACTATATTCATAGTAATTCACATATATTTAATTGTTAAATCATAATCTCAGGGTTCTGGAACATATCTCAGTGGCATAGTACTTGCTTTGGGTTTGATCCGGGGCACCCAAAATGTCATTATTTCTTATATTTTTTTAAGTATCTTGCTATATTGACAGCTCGTCATGGGTCAGAGCAATAGCATAGCAGGTAGGGTGGTTGCCTTGCATGCGGCCGACCTGGGTTTGATTCCTTGGCCCCTCTCGGAGAGCCCAGCAAGCTACCAAGAGTATTCCACCAGCACGGCAAAGCCTGAAAAGTTACCCATGACGTATTCGATATGCCAAAAACAGTAACAAGTCCCACAATGGAGATGTTACTGGCCCACACGAGAAAATTGATGAACAATAGGAGGACAGTGCTACAGTGCTATATTGAGTGTTTTGTGGTTTAAAAATAAGTACCTCATATTTCCTAAGTTAAAGATGTATATGCATTTCATCATAAACCTTAAGAGTTAATTCCTCGTCATACTTGAAACTTTCTACAGAATTGATCAAGTATACCACAGATTTGAATATTATTTACCCAGGAGTAATGTCACTTACAGAAACACCTAAATTCATATCTGAATCTAACTGATACTACTTTTATTCTCATAAAAATTGATAGTTTAAGACATATACAAGAGTATTTAACTTTTGCAGAATTTATCATAGGTTGACATGTACTGTATGTACACTGTAAATATTGGGTTTTTTTTTTTGGCTTTTTGGGTCACACCTGGCGATGCACAGGGGTCACTCCTAGCTCTGAACTCAGGAACTACTCATGGCTGTGCTCAGGGGGTCATATGGGATGCTGGGGATTGAACACGGGTCGGCTGCGTGCAAGGCAAACACCCTACCCGATGTGCTATCACTCCAGCCCAATACACTGTAAATATTCTTGATTTTGTTTTGGGGCCACACGGTGATGATTAGGGGTACCTCCTGGCTCTACACACAGGAATTAGTTTGGGCGGTGCTCAGGGTACCATATGGGATGCTGGGGACCAAACCCGGGTCAGCTGTGTACAAGGCAAACACCCTACCTACTGTACTATTTCTCTGACTCCTACCCTGTAAACACTCTTATTTGATAATGACCCACTTCTAAAGAATGCAATCAATATAATAAAACATCACTAAAACATATAATATTGTCATATAATATATGAAATTGCCACAAGAATTCTTCCACTTTTGAGACAAAACACATAAAGCAAAATATCTTTTTATATTCCTTTATTTTATTTTTTTGTCTTTGGCTGACACCCAATAGTACTTGGGGCTTTACTCGTGGCTTTGCACTCAGGTATCTCCTGGTAGTGGTAAAGGGACCATTTGGAGTGCAGAGGATTACACCCAGTTCGGCACATACAAGGCAAGTGCCCTGTTTGCTGTACTATCTCTCAGGCCCCTAGCACCTGTTTAGATTCCTTATGAAAAATCTATATGCTAAAATTGCCAAGGCCTCTAAACTACATGCCATTTAGAAACCATCACAGGTCATCTATGCTTTCTCCAGATTATTCATATGAAGATAGAATCAGTATACGTGGAATCAACAGGCTTGATTAGCACATGTCACCTATGTAGGGTGGGATGACTAACCAATAGCCAAAGTGTGCCACTGTATAACTTATAAGTTATATCACGAGTTGTAATCCCCCATCAACTACTAGGACGTGACCTGTGATATAGGGTGATTCTAAAAGAAACACGACAGCATGGGCCACATCCATAGGTTCTCCAAACCTCCCGAGAGGGATATTTTTCTTCAACTGTTCTTCTTTCAAGTCTTTCGTCATATCTGTGTGAACAAATCCTAAAAGAGAAATGTATGTTTAGTTGGAAAGGCTGGACACTATGATATACGCTCAATTTCAATGAGATCTCGCACTTAGATACTTAATTTGAGACGGCTGATACACGTAGTTTAAGAAATACAGTTTTTCTGGGAATGAAATAAACAAGTCAACATCTTTATTCAATTTGATACAATGAAAATATATTATTGAACACTGAAATATGTGACCCCAAATATGTAACCCAATTCTTAGTATAATACAAATGGGTGAACAAAAACATGAATAAAAAATTCCTTTCCTTAAAGTAAGTAAAGTAAAGGCCCTCCCGTTGATCACTGATTTGCTCGAGCGGGCCCAGTAACGTCTCCATTGGAGACTTTGTTGTTACTGTGTTTGGCATCTCCCGTGCGGGCGAGATCCTCTTGGTAGCATGCCGGGCTCTCCGAGAGGGGCGGAGGAATCGAACTTGGGTCAGCCATGTTGACTGCGTGCAAGGCAAACACCCTACCACTGTGCTATCGCTCCAGCCCTACTTTCCTTGGGGGAATCTATAATTTATAGACGATATATAGTCACATACACCTTAATTTTAAGAACGTGAGGAATACCCTAGCAGAAGTATAAGCAATGTACCAGGGAACTGACTGATTTTGATCTATGCAGGTGGCGAGATGAGGACAGAGTAGTGAGTAAGCAGGCATCACAAAGCTGAACTGATCTGACGTTCTGGTTAGTTCCACTTCCTATAATGAAGACAGATAAATACAGGAGGACCTTTCTGATAAACAAAAACAAATCTATGGTCTGTTCCACTTATGATGCAGCATACAAAGAAAATTCAGGTTTTACAAGAAATTGGTATATTCAATAAAGCTTACAGAGAATATATTCTATAGTATAAAGCTTTCATTTATAGATATCTACACTTCATTACAAGCTCCATGATAAATAATCTGATTTTTCTATCACAAAGTCCAATATAGTCACAGCTTCATTTGGAGGGGAAAAAAAAAAAAAGAAACACTAGAAATGACTTGAATGTCTTCCAGTAATAAAACAGTTAAGGTAAATTATTGGCCACTCATGCAATAGAACAAGTTAAATACAGGGGGGTTAAGATAATGCTCTAGGACAGAGGTTCCCAAGATTATTTAGCCTAAGAAACTTTCCCAGCACCCTTCTGGAAATCTCCTTTCTTCCCTTCCCAGTGAACAAACAGAAAGTGTCCCTCTATTATATCCCAAGGCTACTACTGGCCACCATCATTCCAATGCCATCCCATTGGGGTATCAACCACTTTGGGTAACACTGCTTTAGAAGGCTACTTTATATGGGAGAAAATTGGGACTAGACAGATAGTAAAGCAGCTAGAGCATTTGCTATGCATATGGTCAGTGTGGGTTCAATTCCCAGCACTGGATATAGTCCCCCAAGCCCCACCAGGAGTGATCCCTGAGCACAGAAGCAAGTAAGCTCTGTGTAAGCTCTGAGCACTGATGGGTGTAGCCAAAACTAACTAACACATGTGCTTAGGCATCATATGCGCCTGGAGTAAGAAAATAATTTTACATTATTTACCAATTTCACTATAAGATACACTACACTGTTGAATAAAATCTCTCTTTTTTTCCCCCTGATCTGCGCGGGATGGGAACCGAACCCACCTCCCAGCAACAAAGCTGAAGGTCTCCGCGAACTCTCTCCCCTTCCATTCAGGTACAGCCCGCTCCCAAGGCCTGGGACTTTCTCTGGGCATGCGCAGCTAGCTTGATCTCATAGGACAGCCGGTTTTTTCCCCTGATCTGTGCGGGACCAGCACAGGGACCCTTTCCAGAGCCGCGGCCATGTTAGCAGCCACGAAATATTCTCCCACTACATATGCCCTAGGAACAATAAACTACCTTCTTAGATGGAATCTTCTCTATTTTAGCTCAGCCACTAGAAACTCAGTAGCCAATAACTCATAAGCCTATATCAACTCACACTGCATATCAAGCAGAATAGTAACAGTGAACGTGAAGGATTAAACCACACTTGTCACAATGGTAAAGCAATGCAAAAGCCCACCAAACTTTCTTATTGAAGAGGCTAGCCCAGAAGACATCAACAGTACTGTAGTTAGACAACCTCTCTGACAAGGAATTCAGAAGGGAGCTACTCAGGATGGTTAGGGAATGAAAAGAAACAATGGAAAGCAATGCCAGTAAAAGACAAGAGGATTTGAAGGCAGAAATGAGGAAAATGCAATCGGAAATGTCAGACCTGAAAAACCTGGTAGGCGAATTGAAAAACTCAGTGGAAGGCCTCAGAAGCATAGTAACAGCCGCTGAGAACAGAATCAGTGAGCTCGAAGATGAAGTTCAGAGACTCTCCAGGAAAGAGCAGAAAATGGAAAAGAGACTCACTATTCGGGAACAGATGGCAAGAGAAGATCGTGACGAAGCCAAGAGGGCTAACTCCAAGAATTATTGGAGTCCCAGAGGGACAGGAAGAAAACCTTGATGAAGAAGAAACTGTCAAAGACATCATTGCTACAACATTTCCAGAGCTGAAGAAAACATGTGACCACATTCAGGAGGCCCGAAGGGTACAAGCTAGAAGAAATCCGAATAAAAATACCCCAAGACACATTCTGATCAAAATGACCAAAACCTTAGAAAGAGACAAAATTCTGAAAGCAGCAAAATCGAAGAAAGAAATCTCTTACAAAGGAGCATCCTTAAAATTCACAGCTAATTTTTCTGATGAAACCTTCATGGCCCGAAAACAATGGTGGGACATAGTAAAAAAACTCAATGAAATAAATGCCTCTCCAAAAATACTTTACCCAGCGAGACTCTCATTCATAATAGAAGGAACACACAGTTTCACAGACAAACAACAGCTCAGGAACTTCATAGACTCAAAACCATGGTTACAAGAACAACTAAATGGGCTACTTTAAGGCAAGAAAGGCCCCTCAAATACACCAAATTTCAACAGAACAATGGGACAAAATCCCATAACAATAATCTCTCTCAATGTCAATGGGCTAAACGCACCAATTAAAAGACATAGAGTGGCAGGATGGATTAGAAAATTGAACCCAACATTCTGCTGCCTGCAAAAAAACACATCTCAATAGTCAAAGCAAAAACAGACTCAGAGTCAAAGGCTGGAAAACAATCCTACAGGCAAACAGCTCCCATAAAAAAGCTGGGGTAGCCATCCACATCGATTTCAGAGTGAAGAAGGTCATAAGAGACAGTGAAGGCCATTTCTTATTGATCAAAGGATCTGTACAACAGGAAGAACTTAAAATAAAAAATGAATATGCACCTAATGAGAGACCAGCAAAGTACTTTAAACAACTACTCATAGATTTGGAAAAAGACATCAATAGCAACATAATACTAGTGGGAGACTTCAACACCGTTTTGTCACCTCTTGATAGATCAACCAGACTCAAGCTTAGCAAGGACATACTTTAACTGAGTGAAACAATGGAAGAAAGGACTTAGTAGATATATACAGGACACTTCATCCACAAAAAGCTGAATACACATTCTTCTCAAGCGTACATGGAACATTCTCCAAGATAGACCACATGCTGAGCCACAAAACATGCCTCCATAAAATTAAGAAGATAGAGATTGTATCAACAATCTTCTCAGACCATAATGCGCTAAAATTAGAAGTAAATCACACACAAAAACAGAAAACTAAATCAAACACCTGGAAATTAAACAGTGCTGGACTGGAGCGATAGCACAGCGGTAGGGCGTTTGCCTTGCACGCAGCCAACATGGCCGACCCGACTTTGATTCCTCCGCCCCTCTTGGAGAGCCCGGCAAGCTACTGAGAGTATCTCACCCGCACAGCAGAGCCTGGCAAGCTCCCCGTGACGTATTCGATATGCCAGACACAGTAACAACAAAGTCTCCAATGGAGACATTACTGGGCCTGCTCGAGCAAATCGATGATCAACGGGAGGGACTTTACTTTACTTTTACTTTACTATTGAATGAGTGGCTTAGACAGGAAATCAAAGAGGAAATGAAAAGATTCCTAGAAACGAATGAAAATGAGAACACGAGTTACCAAAACTTATGGGACACAGCAAAAGCTGTGTTAAGAGGAAAGTTTATAGCTCTACAAGCATTCCTCAGGAAGGAGGAGCGAGCACACATAAGAAACCTAACCTCACAGCTTAAGAGCTTGGAGAAGGACCAAAAAAAGGAGCACAACCCAAACAGGAAAAAGGAAATAATAAAACTCAGAGCAGAGATTAACGAGATGGAAACCCAAAAAACAATCCGAAAGATCAATGAAACCAAGAGTTGGTTCTTTGAGAAAATTAACAAGATCAATAAGCCTCTAGCAAAACTCACAAAGAAAGGGAGAGAGAAAACCCTAATAAGCTGAATCAGAAACGAAAAGGGGGTCATTACAACAGAAACTACAGAAATTCAAAGGATCCTCAGGGAATACTTTGAGAAGCTTTATGCCACGGAACATCAAAACCTCGAGGAAATGGATAAATTCCTAGACTCCTACAGACTCCCAAGGCTGAACCAAGAAGACCTGGAATACCTGAACAGACCTATCACCATCAAGAAAATTGAAATGGTAATAAAAAGTCTCCCCAAGCACAAAAGTCCTGGATTCACTAGTGAATTCTTCAAATCTTTAAAGAAGACTTGCTCCCAATCCTCTTTAAGCTTTTCCACGAAATGGAAATATCAAAAACACTTCCGAACATTTTCTCCGAAGCAAATATCACACTGATACCAAAAGCAGACAGAGATACCACAAAGAAAGAGAATTACAGACCGATATCCCTGATGAACACAGATGCAAAGATCCTCAACAAACTATTAGCAAATAGAATCCAACTACTCATCAAAAAGATCATACACTATGACCAAGTAGGATTCATCCCAGGGATGCAAGGATGGTTTAACATTCGGAAATCAATCAACATAATCCATCATATCAACAAAAGAAAAGATAGAAAGCATATGATTATATCAATAGA